ATTTTTATTTTTATTTTTATTTTTATTTTTATTTTTATTTTTATTTTTATTTTTATTTTTATTTTTATTTTTATTTTTATTTTTATTTTTATTTTTATTTTTATTTTTATTTTCAGGGAAAAGGAAAAGGGTAGAAAAGAAAAAGAAAAAGGGAAAGGGAAATCAGCCGCTCAGTTGCTTGCGTTTTTTTGCTTTCCGGATGAAGGTTTGAGAATAGGGCCGAATGAGTTTTCTTTTGGGATCCAATTGTGTGATTTGTTGTTACATTTTTTTTGTTTTTTTTGTTTTTTTTGTTTGGAAGTCTTTCTTATAGGAGTTAGATGCGGACGAGGAAATGAAATGCCGAGGGAGATTGAGGTTGATTGGAATTGGGATGGGGATTTACTCCAATAGTATGTTGGATGAAGTTGATGGATGGTGTGAGTTACTCCGTAGAGAGGTTGGATTGGGGGGAGATATCCTCTTTTGGGTTATTCTTGAGAAGGATTGGTTTACATACATATACATAGTACATAGTATCTGTCCAAATATACTTGTCTAATATGGATACATTTGATCATATCATACCTAATTCATCTAATGAACGTTACAATTATAGTATATGTTCGTGCAGCTATCCGCAAAGGGCGATAGCTGATGATTAAGTATATATCTCGCTCTCTATCGTTCCCTTCCCTTCGCGGCATATCGCATGAATGAACTATACGATGCATCATTGAGTTTCATCCAAGTTCGATCAGCAAAACACGCAAGCATACGTACTGCAGACCTTGTACGAGTATCTCTTCACTCTTTCTCAAGAGATCTTCCGCTCGGAAAACCTTCTCCCTTGATTTTTCTGCAACGAGATACCTGGTTAGCTCACGATGCTCACTCATCACCCATCACTCATCAGAGCTTCTCGGTCATCTACATAGTGACATGTAAGTTGTAACGTGGACTAGAATTTAGTTCGAGGTAAGAGATTACCTACATACCTACATACCTAGCCATGATGGCATCCATGAGCCATCCATCCAAGATTCGAAGAAAACATCCTCGGCTTCACATCACTATGGGGCAATGGGGAAAATCCACCCTTTTTTGCCCCAGATCCCGTTTTTGCGTAGAAAATTTTACGAATGTCATGTGTGTGGGAAAGAGTGGGCTTGGCTTGGGTTCTCCATAATGATGTCCCTCTGTCTTTTTCTCCACCATTCGATGGACGTTTGGGTATGGAGCATTGGTGCGGCTATGGAGCGGCGTTACTTGAGGTAATGGAATTATGGAAAGTCCTGAGCCCTGATGGGAATTTGGGAGGAGAACTGGGTGGGAGGGTCTAGATTTGTCATGGACGGCGTTAGGTCACTTGGGTGCAGTGGTGCAGTGCAGTACATTACAGTAGGCAGTTAGTCGTAAAGTTTGCCGATAGCTTGGGGTTTGGGGAAAGCATTGAAAGGCGAGGAGGGAATGGGGATGTGGGAAAAGTATTAGGTAGGTGGATGGATGATGGATGATGGATGGAAGGGTGGGAACGGGTTGGTAATCAAAAGTTCAAAACACTGCAGAAGTTGGTTGGATGAAGAACAAGGGATATCAAGTACGTTGACAATATCGTAGGTAACATCTGAATGAGCCTTTTTCAAGTACCGACATATGTGATGATTAGATCGATGTACGAAAATCCAGTGTTGAGACCGACCGTACCACATTGATAAACGGGAATGAATTGAATCATCCAGTACCTACTACCTACATACGATAGTCCGATTCAACTTTTCAAGTGGCCATGAATTGATTTCGCATCATGTTCTTTCTGTACACATCTACCTCCAAGCTGACCATCCATCCATCCACCTCCATCGTATTCAATACGTCTTGGCTCATTAACTCCTACTACTCATAAGATCTATCTCATCATCTTTCTCGGTCAAATATCCTTTTTCCATCTTTTTTTTTTCCATCTCCAAATGGATGGTCAGTATCTGGGGCAATATTAAGTAAGAATACGGATGATCTTATTGGATTCGGGGATAATCACGGAAGAATTCGAAAAGTGCTATTTTCGGTACAGCCGTGGGTGGCACTGATGGACGGATAGGATAAGGAAAACCTTGCCTCGAGCTTGCCCAGTAAAAAGGGTCTTTTTGGGTGGTGTTGTTTCGTGTGAAGGATAGGATAGGATAGGATAGGATAGGTGATAGGATAGAGAAGAGAAGAGAAGAGATGTTATCTCTCTACCAAGTACATGAGATCTTGCGAATGAAGAATTGCTGAGTTGATTCCTATTACCTACTAGGTGTCAAATCTGTACATCGGTACATACTACATACAACATACATACCACATCCCTATCTCTACGAAGTACTATTTGTTGAGATTGTCGTCTTGCATCTGTATATCATTTGTGGTTATCGACGATACTAGGTAGCTCGTACTCCGTAAGTATATCGTGAATCGTGATCCAGATCTACTTGATGCCATGCCATGCCATGCCGTAAACATTCTCCTATGATCATCAACCACGATTCAATCACGAGTGCACAACTTCCAAGCGCAACCGACAGACAGGATTGGTTCTTGTGCTGTATCTTCAATTCTAGTATTGTATTCGACCTGAGTACATATCCCATTATCAAAATCTCTTCCTCTTCCTCTTCATCATCATCATCATCATCATCATCATCTCCCCACTCTCATTCCCTCTTCATAGTCACACCCGAATCCCTATACCATTGCATCAAATGTCATCAGTCATGTTTTCCTTAATTTTCGTCCATTCATCAGTCATATTGCCCAGGACCTACCTACACCTACCTACACCTACCTACATTTCTCGTCTTACTTTATCCGGATTTCACAGTGCCTGGGTCCTGATGTTCCACATTTCCAATCAGTGGAGTGTGGAGTCTCCATAAAGACGCCGACCGAATGTTCCTTTGATGCTAAACTCAAAGTGGGTATAGATTTGGATCGGAATTGGGAATTAAGATTTGGAAGCGATGTCCGTTGGGCGAATGGGGGGGGAGGGATTGAATAATTGGGCCGATAGGGAAGAAAAAGAGATGGATGGGATATTGTATGTATGTATGTATGTATGTATGTATGTATGTATGTATGTATGTATGTATGTATGTATGTATGTAGTATGTAGGTATGTAGGTAGTATGAGGAGTGAGTGTATAACTGTATGAGTGTAGAGTGAAGAAGGAATGAGAGGAGAGATGGAGATGGAGATGGGAGAAGAGAGGAAAAGAAGAAGAATGGAGAAAATAATCTAGTACTACTTACTGTATACAAGCAGATGAGAGAGAGGCAAGAAAAAGAAGAGAATCATTGAACAGAGAATTAAACTCATAGAGAAGAGAGAGAGAGAAACTTTACTTTGATCAAGAACTCAATCCACAACTCAGTCAACAACTCAATCTTCACTTCACTCAGCCTTGACTCAATCTTTACTTCAACTTACAGCCAACCTCTTGATACTCGTAGTTGAATTTATATTATATACATTATATATTTATATATATATATACATTCTATATAACAAAGATATCCAAAACTTCTTCTTCCTCCTCCGCCTCCTCCTACCCTCGGCTTCATTATTTTAATTAGGTAGCATTTTTTAATCTACCATATCGGTATTACTATTTAGCTGCGTTTACCAAGTTACTCCAGAGTCCATACATGAGTACGACCCAAACACTACTCGTAGTCTTGTACCTAAAGAAAATAAGAAAACTAGAAAATCATAAAACGTCAAGGGGAAAACGTGCCTATCCATTCAGATCCCACAGTCCCATAATCCCCATCTATTCCCTTCATTAGTTCCCCCGATATACCGAATTCCTTTTAGTCCCTTTCTTTCTGGGAAGAGACGAGAAACTTACCTCACCCATCTACGAGTATCTCATCAATCCATCTCAGCCGCCACACTTTCCACACTTGGTCTTTTGGAGAGAGAGAGAGAGAGAGAGAGACAGAGAGAAAGAGAAAGGTCCAGATTTTCTTTCGTTCGTTGGTCGTTCGTTGTTCATCCTTTCCCCTTTTCTCACTGCCACCTTCTCATCCTACTTCCTATTTGTCTCTCTGTATCTGTATCCCTTTGTCGGACATCCATCGACGTTTGAGTACATGGCTACTTGAATCCAACAACACTCGACAACGGAAAAAATCAGAAACCACACACCAAACGAAGAAAGGACCAGGATTGATAGAGCATTTATCTTACCCATTCAACACCTTGCAACATTAAACCAGTATCAGAAGTCACAAGTCATCTACTGGAATTTGTGGGTGGAATAACACAGATATTGTACTTCCTTCTCTTGATACACATCATTTCAAAGTGACACTCGAAAAGGTCAACTCAGCAATAATAATCGGATCAATTCCAATCTGAAGAAGAAACCGGCCCTCAAATAGACAAAGAAGAAGAGGAAGAAGAAGAAGATATATTTCTTAATTCAGATCAATTTCATTCTGGTTAGAATATCCATCGGTCTGGACTTTGCACATCCATCTCAATTATACCATAATCTATATCTATATACGATAGGCAGATAGGATACCTGGGTACAAGACTTGTTATCTATCTCGGTACTCCCTTCAATTTGACTCCGATCTCAACCCCAATAATCAATTCAATCCCTTATTGTTTGACCCTCCGACCCTTCAACTTTCGACTTTCGACTTTCAAACTATCTTCTCCCTTCTTCAACAACAACAACCACCACCCATCTTACCAAAAACTTCTCGATTCCTACTCAAAATTTCACGACCTTTCCTCAATACATCGAATTGATATTGTTGACTTCATAAAATACTTCAACGGGTGTTTTCAATAATGCATGAAGTTCAATCGTGCGACGTCGTTTCCTCAACTTTATTCCCACTCGGCGCAACTTGGGCGGCCCTCCCTCTCGAAGAGCGTCGTCCATAAATCTTGATATGATTTAACCCTCACGAAGAACTTCAACTCTACGACCTATTGGTACCAAAGACCAAGCGTAGGGGAAGAAATGGAACCCCTTCATCTTACGGAATTCGCTTCAGAGCGATATTTCGAAAAAGTACGACAGAATGATAGGAATGGACATGGGCATGCTGAGAATGGATCGGGGTCCGGGTCTGGATCTATGGCTGCTGGGTCTGCAACTGGAACAATCCAAAATTCACAGATTGGTTCTTCATCAATCCCTCTCATTAATCATGAACCGTCACCACTAGAAGCAGCTACATTCAATTTACCTTCGAGGCAGAAAAATGCCAATCATGAGAACTTGGCCTTCCGACTTGGCGATCAAAGAAAACGTTCTCTTGGACACGACCTCACGTCTCTACGAACACAACGTCGCCCAAGTTTTAGTGGTTCATTGGGTGCTCTAAGATCCAAAGTGAACATTACCCATCGAGCTCCATCAATTGTCGAGGCACACCCAGACATCATCCAAGAAAGAATTGAAAGGCAAAGGTAAAGAAACTTCACGAAACCAGGTTCTCTTGTGAACATTCGGATAAATTGCTGACCTACATAGTGCTTCTCTCTCCGACCTTCTCCTTACTCTCCCAACCGAATTACAAGCTCAAATTATCTCACCTTTGCCAATTCATACCATTCTTGACTTGCGACAAGTTTCGAGGTCATTTCACGCTTTGATTACAATAAATGAAGCACCAATCGCGCGATATCATGCAACCCATACACTACCTGGTTACACGACACGATTGTTCCCTTTGCCAGAGGCTGCGAAACTGAACTTGCACTATCTGGCTGGGATATGGCATCGATTACATGTTGCTCAAAATTGTCTACCTTGATCTCTCTACAAGCTCGAAAGGAGATATTCTTACGGACGACTGAAGCTCAAGTGTTGGAATTTCAACCTCAATATGAAAGGATGCGTCAAAGATTAATACCACTTATCTTTACAATCTTTCATTTCTTCGAAACTTACCGGAAAGTATATGCTTCACATCTTGAAAGACGCGGGGCGCCTCTAACACGACTACCCTACACGCTTAATCCATTCGAGACTTTTGCTATGAACATGTATGACGACAGAACGTTGTTGTATGTTCATCAGGTATTTCCTTTGTTCATGTCATCATTTTCTCGTCGATTAAGGCCTCCTTCATACGTTGGAAGAGTGGAAAGATCAATCAGAGGTTATTTGAAGGATCGACCACCCGACGAAGTTTATTCGGCTATCCTCACAATCGGCGGACTCCAGCAGGCAGAAAAGTTCTGGCAGACAAAAGGGTACAATGCGAGGAGAGCCGCCGTCGACCAATGGTATGGTTCTCTACAAAGTTGTCGTTTCCCAATTGTCGAACCTAGCGCCGCTGCACCGAAATCCAAGATGTCAAAATTCACTCATCTAGGAAGAAAGAAGGCACCCCAACCTATGGCTCACTCTCCGCCTGACACTTCAGGTCACGATTCTTCGGGATGCTCCGAATGGTTTTGTGACAAGTCCACTTGTATAGCTTCCAAGCGAAATTTATCGGATGAGAGTTTGGTTTGGAGAACAAGTCTTTCACAAGGTCCACCGATGCGTCCATTGGGACGAGAAGTACTGGGATTGCTGGTGGAAGGTGTGCCTGATTTACATGAATTGTGGGCCAAAACAGCTGAAGCCTTGATTCTGGAAAGAGGAATTGTGGATAGACCTGAGAGGATTAAGAAGAATAGTATGGTGCTATTGGACTTGATCAAGGAAGATGGAAGGGATGAAATGGAAGGCTGGGAGCCAGGAAGGACTGGAAGTAATGCGGTGGATGTATCAGAGGTTGTGGATACAGGATCAATCTCGGACTGAGAGGTCAATGAGAGGAGTTATTTACGTACGGAGCTACGAAAAACGATGCGATGACTTTTTGTCTCGTGGTGGAAAAGTTATTCGAGCATCGTTGAATGGATGCTTTATGGTGCGGTACGGTGCGATTCGATGCTTTTTTATAAACGACAAGAAGTGATGGAAAGTAATTATTGGGGGCGGGTGAAGCGAACGAGTGGATTTGAAAAGTGGAAAGGGAAAGGTTGCATTGTATGGAGTTTTTGAGCGATATCCTTTGTTTTAGGTGCACCAACGTCATACCATGGATGGTCCAGGATTGATGATTTAACCAGGTTGGGGTTCTTTAGGTTGAGTCTATGGCGTTTTTAGGTTTGGGCGCTGGATTTAAGATTTGAATGTCAATCGACATAAAGGGCGGGACGAATGGGAGGGCATGAATGAACGGAAATGGATTGATGCTGTATTGATTCGGAAGTATTGACTCGGTAGCATGGTGTTTGTGTTTGTTTATATTGATTGGGGGGTATGGGGCTTGGCCATATCACTTCGGGGTGGATGGGAATTGGGTTGGATTTTATGGGTGGGATTGGGAGATGGGATGGGTGTGGTGTGGATGTATGCTGTTGATGCGGAAATTGCATGCATACTTGTTGCTAGGCGAGAGAGGGACGATGAATGGGGCTTGGGGTTATAGATGTTCGTGGAGAAAGCAAGGGGTTGGTTCATTTTGTATGTATGTAGTACTGTAGTGAATGAAGTGGGAAAGAAAGTTCAAATACAATGAATATATGACCAAAGATTGAAATTTCATGATAATGTCTCTGGTTCTTGATGTGGGTGTGTGTGTGTGTGTGTGTGTGTGCTTCGAAAGAGATGTTTATAACGTGTGAAAAAGTCGAGATGAATCAATGAGTTATGGAAGCAGAGACGTGATGTGATGAGTGAAGAATTGAAGAAAGTTCGGTTTTCATGATTTGTTTTCGTACCTTACCACCCGACCTCCAGAAAGTATACCCAGACGCCCGGGCAGCATCACTTCCCTTCAGCAGGTTCTTGAGCCCCAGCCATCTTTGCAATCCTCAACTCCTCTTTCAACACCCTATTCTCCTCCTCATACACACCCTCCTATTTCGCCGCCTCCGCCTCCGCCTCCGCCTCCGCCTCCTCCTCTCTCCTCTTAAACCTCATCAACCTCTCCTCCAACAATTCATTCGCCACCTCCAGCGCTCTCCTCCTCTCCACCACCTCCTCAAACCCATCACTCATCACCTTCTCCTTCTTCCTCGCCTCATCCCTCTCCGCTTCCGCAATCTCCACCCGCCGCTTCAGCGCCGCATTCTCCGCCCGCACTTCCCCAAGCTCATACTGCGCCTTTTCCATCTCCGTCTCGTGCTGTCGCTCCGCCCACGCGCGACGCACCTCGCACATTTCCGCGTCGTTGATCAATTTATGGCGGAGGGTGGAGATGGTCCATTCCTGCTTCATATTTTTTTCATGTTCCTCCGTGAGCTTCATGCGCAGTTCCGACATGATGTTGACGCGCTCGTCGTTTTCCTTTGAGATGGTGGTGATGCGTGCGCGGAACTCTGTCACTTGTTTGCTGTGCTGTTCGGTTAGGATGGTTATTTGCTTGTGCAGGTTTTGGATGATCTGGTCTTTTTGTTCAATCGTCTCTGACAGGGTGGTTATTTGAGTACGGAGGTCCTCGACGGATGGGTTGTCAAGTAGCTTGGCTATTTTCTCCCTGAGCTCTTGGATGGTTTGTGCATGTGAGTCTTTGTCCCTTCTTACCTCCGACATTTGAGTTCGTAGTTCCTCAATTGTCTGATTCTTCTCTCCTGCTTTGGTTACTTGATCCCTGAGTCCTTGGATAGTTTGTGCATGTGAATCGTTCTCCCTCCTTACCTCCGACAATTGAATGCGCAGTTCCTCAATTGTCTGATCTTTCTCGCCAGCTTTAGCTACCTGACCTGTGAGTTCCCGAATATTTTGCGCGTGTAGAGCAACTTCCCTCCTTAGCTCCGAGACTTGAATACGTAGGTTGTCAATCGTCTGATCTTTCTCGCCCAATCTTTCTACCCGTTCCCCGAGCCCTTGAATAATTTGCGTATGTTGCTCATCTCGTCCTCTTAATTCGGCCAACTGGCCACGTAGTTCCTCAATAATTTGATTTTGTCGCTCATCCTGTCTGTCCGGTCTGGCACTTTGATTTCGCAGTCGTCTGACCTCCCCTTTCCATAATTCGTCTAGATTTCGCAATCGTCCATTCTCCCTTCGTAGGTTTGCATTTCTATTTTGTAAAGTAGTAATACTCTTTGAAACGACCTCATTATTATTTGATCCCCAACCAAACCAATATCGTCCCAGTCCTGGTGTTATCTCTGGGATTTCGATTTCAAACCCATCTCGTCCAAATACGGGTGGAAGTGGTGGAAGTGGTAGGAGGGGTGGAAGGCGTGGGTTGGCATGATTTGCGTCATTGTTGAAAAACATATCAAGTCTTTTGCATGGCTTGCTATTGGTGAGTTTAAGGCGCTCAATTCATATGGCGAGGTTTTGGAAATGAAGCAACGACGTTAAGCAATTGATTTTTACTAAGTTGCCCAACAAGAGTTCCTGATAGGAACAAAGGGTTCAATTTCGCCTACGACTATCTCAAAGTGAATATGTGCGAACAAAAAGAATCTTCAACCTTGTCAAGTCCGCTTTGGATGAGACAAAGAACTATCTAACCGCCTGTAAAATATATTGGCAAAATTTGCGCTGCTCGATCTAAAATTCGATAACCTGACGAGAAGATACAAATGAATGAGGGGCTTGTGAATGTATCCCCTCATTCTTGTATGAATCGGCTATAGAGGTGGTAGAGACTGGGTCATTGGGTTTTGGAGATATTCTTGGAAGCGCAAATTCAAAAACGAGACTGAGATACAAGTAGCTAAAATGCACGGGAAGAATGTCAATGTTTATGCAAGAAAAACACATTACCAAAGTATATGACTTCATGGAAAGGCTGGTTAAGGAGTCTGGAGAGGACCGGTCAGAACCTGTACGGCTAGTCAAAGTCTTCCTATGACTGGTCAAATCAATGTAGATACTTTCACTAATGATAATTTGAAACCATCATATTTAGCCCGCTAGCACTACGATGAAGCCCACCAAGGAAGAAGTCATATGCAAATTTCTCTTAAACTTCGAGGCGAAGTATCCGGATAGATTTATACCCGGAATTTGAGAGCTGGATGGATGAACATTTTGCAATACCATGCCTTATAATACTGATTGGCACAATACAATAAGTTCTTCTCCGATTCATGAAAGAGAAGTACTTGGCCCAGATGAGACGGCTGAGAAAGGAAGATGCCAGCTAAAAGGCGCAAAGGCTCTTCAGGCCAGAAACACACGGCAAACGAAGCGTAAAGTTTGTAGAGATAGATAGACATGAGCCTATTTTTCTCAAGCCCGGAGAAAGATGTGGAGAAAGGAGAAATTTGCTCTTTTGGGGGTCACAGAGTTTGTCGCTATGCTCAAACCAAAGGAGTCAGTATTATGTGCTACACATAACTGTTCCAGAAAAAGGAATTTTCGCAAGTATACAGATTTCCTCTGTGAAACGTCCCAGTGCCATGAGAGAGCTGCGTAAAATGTAGACTTTGTATGAAGAAATCGATTGATTTGGTCTCCGCTCTACCTCTAGCAATATAGAAGATCTAGGTGCATATATAGAACAGAGATCATCGAAAGCATGAAAATCGTCAAATTTGCATTTGATGCAATCGTGAATTGGTAGACTAGCCAGTTATAACGTGATTCGAGGCGAAAACCCTTCTGAGGTCAACTCTCCCGTTCAATTTTAGCGTGTGATGCCGTTTTCAGGCCAGAGACACTCAATGTAGATGGGCATGTGACAACGTGATATCTTAACCTTTAAATATTTCAATGTTTCTCTCGTAATTTTGCTAAAGCTGCAGCGACCCCTCCGCTGAGCTCTTCATCTCTCCTCGCCAATTCTTGCTTTTTCTCTCGAGCCGCTCTTTCTTCTTCTTGCTGAGCGGCCGAGATTGCAGCCTCTTCGTCATCATCGTCTGGTATCCGTTCATTCTGTCGTTCCTCAGAGAGGTTCTGGCTTCGATGTAGAGATTCAACAGATTTTCCTCCCAAGGAGCCCATTTCCCTCAGCGGAACACGACTCAAAGGAATAGCACGTTCTAAAACTCCTTCTGGCCGTGTTATCCCATCGTCTGTTACTTCCTTCCTGCTCAAACCTCTACGTGCTGCTTTTCGTGCTCTAAATGGTTCATCAACAACCCCGCACCACTTTCTAACCTTTTTCTCTCCCCATCCATCAACAACAGCAATCTCCTCAGGTCTTGCATTGATAGCACCTCTGATACTTCCAAATGCATCAACCAATGCCACAGCGTCTCGTTTATTGATACTCCTTGGAACGGTAACGAAATCTACCATTTTATCTCCATAACTCTTGCTTTCAACACCTTTTATAGCACTAGCATTTGCATGTTCGTAGCTCTTGTATAACTCCAGGTATCTTGCAGCCTCAGGAGCGGACCAGCATAATATGACGGTAACATTATTCACCAGACTTGTCTTGGATAGTTCCTTTAAACTCTCTTCATGATTTCCAATATCAACCATTGTAAGAAGTACTCGCAGATTGTATTTACCCTGCAAACCTTTGATTCGATTGTATATATATTCGGGATGTAATCGATGGTATTTGAGTGATAGGAAGAGTGCGCATGTTGTTGTACCAAGCACATAATCGGCCAAAATATCTGAGTATTCCCATGGAAAGGATTTGAGATTTGTCAGTATTGGATTGCCTTTCTGCCGTAGAGATACTTGAATTGTCGAGCCAGAAGAGCGCGATGCGATAGCTTGTGGAATTGGTTGAACAACCTTGGGACCTGCGGAGGCATTATTTGTTGGTGGTGCTCGATCAAGACGCTGTGGAGTAGGCTGTTGGACGCGTTGCGGGGTAGGTTGTTGAACGCGGTTTGTAGATGGAGCTGTAACAGGGGTTTGTGCGAGAGCTGTTAGGAAGTCCGCATCTGCGCCAAAATCATCATCGTCGTCCATTGTGAATGTGATTGTTGTTAATCAAGAGGTTGTCGTGGTTGAATGTTGTATAAATATTTGAGGTGGAAAGGAAGGAAGCCTGTTATTCACTGTCTTAGGCTAGCGAACGCTAATTTTACAGTTGTAAATCTCGTACATTTAAATCTAGAACACAACTCACGCTGCACTACAAGATCATGATATGGTGTCAGGAATTAATCTTCTGATCAATACCAGTGCAATAGCTTCCTAACCAAACTGTCTTTTGATGTACTGTTCTTATACGCGAATGCGAACAATCTTGAACAGAACCAATATCGATATATTTCATGAGGTTGTTTTTAGACCGAGAATGGCGTCTCTCGCTGCCACTGCACCGTTGCTTGCGCATATTCCTGATAAATGACCTCATGGGTTCTTCGATACTGTAGCCAATTGGTACTAAGAACATTATCCAATTCTCACAAGCAGATTCACAGAACAGAGTCCTACGATGAGATAGCTGCTCCCCAAATCATGTACAAAGTCGGAGCCTGCACATGTATTTCTTAATGATTTTAGTACATCACTTCAATAGCATGATTTGGAAAGTCGATATTGGCCACTGCTTCATCAGTTAATAGGGCTTCTATGTGGCTTTTGTTATTTGGCTCCGACTTTCGTCTCTTGATACTTTCTAGGATCAGCCAGCTGCTGCGAGTGCAGATTTGACTTCCCTAGAGGCTCAAATACAAGCTCTGGAGACAAAATCTTAAAGCTCTCAATAGTCATCATGTTTTGGAATACTGCTGTATATTAAAACCCACCTCTCGAAGTGTACAATCCATTGTTTTTTCGGGTGTCACGATCTCGTTATTCTTCTGCCGGAGAGAAGGGGGCATCGCTTAATCCTCGAAAGTATTGGACAAGCACTTCAAGGGCAGGAGGGCAGGTAGCCCAATCATTCACCAATAACTATCGTATTTTTGTGAACATATTGCTGTTATTATTACTATTCCCTGGTTACCATGTTCCTTCCTCCTATGTATTTCATTTCATACCTAAGCTTTGAGTTTGCCAGAGCATCTAATAGGCACGCTGAAGCCACTCCGCAGGCTCCAGTAGGATTGCTATTCTTAGATCTCCCGAAAGGTGTGGCATTACTACAATTGGCAACCCGGTTAATTACGATCCCGTACACACAGGATACTTGTCCAATAACACAAGCCCGTATTCACCGCACATCTAGATGGATCCACCATCTCAAACGAAGGTACCTCGCAGCAAGCTTCCTCCGCTCTGCTGGACATACGACGAATCGACGGCTACGGTGAGAACCCAGGGCAAACTACCTCGAAACATCTCGTTGCAAATTCCCAGCCACAGAGTTATGGAAGGTATTCTTGACCTCCGGCGCATCAATCACAGATAGTAGTCTCCAAAGAATTCGTTGATTGTCCTTCAATACCCGGTCCATTTCCACAAATAACAGAGCTTCATTTACGTCCTGATAAGCTCATCACAATATCTCAAGCATCGTCACTTTTAAGCATCCTTTATTTCTGGGTAAAGAGCCGAGCACCGGTCCAGATTCGCATGAATACGTTTGCATTGCTAATTCGTCCTCATTGGTGACTCCGGGTAGAAGTTTGACCAGGCTGTTGACCAGGCAATATAAATTATGTTAATCATTTGCAAGATTACATATTCATCACCAATCTAGTCATAAATGACATGGCGTAAACGGTATAAACGAGAATGTAGAGGTGATCAGGTACCGCCCCTTAGAACAGGCTGTCACTTTGTATCAGTGACCAGATCAAAATACCATCAATTACCTGGCTAGTGGTCACGTCAACCTCAACGTACAGGCAAGTGACGTAACGGAATCATTCTTCGTCCACTTGCTTTCCTGGAGAGAACCACTCGCGACTCCTGCACCATCCAATCCTCAATCACGTCCCTCCAACTCATCCAAAACTCCCCCACGATTCTTATATCAAGACATCGTGTGCCACTTCCCACTTCCCAATCTCCATCCCCATGTACGAAATCGTCTCTTCCTCCATACTCTCCCCAGAAAATCTCAAAACTTCCACAGCATACCCAAAGCAAGACTGGGCTTCCCCTCACACTCACCCAACACCCCTATCACCTCCCGCTCCACGCCTCCCACGGGCTGATGGGCTCATGACTCGGTAGTCTTGCCCCCAAGCCTCCAAGACATAAGGTTCTCTCTTCCCGAATATTACCCCACAAACTCCATCTATCCGGCCCCACATACCCAATCTTTACACCTACCAAGCCCTGAAGCGCTGGAACTCCCAGGCTCGGAAACCCCCATTCTCGGGCACTGCCGTTTATCTTCGGCTTGGCTTTGAGTTTCGACTTTTGATGAATGATGAAATTGATAAAAAATTCCACATCATCCGGAGTGACGGCACAAGATCAGCCAGCATAGTCGTCTTTCATGCTCGCGTTTTCTTTTATTATTATTCATAATTTCATTTTTTTTGTCTAAATGTTGTACATCTATAACTTGATGTATCTATAATGCATATACAGGTGTTTTTATCGTAAAGTGCCGAGTTCATTTGACTTCCTTTACATCGCCAAAATCCGCACTAGGAGTCCCACTAGTTTCATCACCAACCACTATCCCCACAACTTCTCCATGTTGCATAGCATCCATATCGATCCTTGGACCTGTGAAGTTTTGCTTGCCGTCGACGTACCATTGCACTACTGCGATGACGAAGACAAGGAAGAAAGCTACTACGCAGTAATCTGTGTGATGTGTTAGTATTGTAGAAATTAGGATTGAAGATAGGGGGAGGGAACATACTCATATTGCTTCCTGTAACTGGCAATTCCGGTGGAAAGAGGAACAGAACTGTAGTAACCATCACATATGCAATGCCAACCTATTCATCCCATTAGTATGTATTCTCCCAAAAGTATGATCAGCATATTAGAGAGAACTCACCAGGTTGCAAACCCAACCCACTGGTTCCGACAATTTGAATGCTCTCGTCTCCGGTAAACACTTTCTCCCCCTCAAACAATTGACTGCGACAGGAATTGCATAACTGACACCCAAAGCCACAACACTGGCACTGACAATTGCATTGAAAGCCGATGAACTACCCAAGAAAATGAGTCCAAAGAGGAATACACATGCCATTGTAAGGTACAATGCATTTAGTGGAAGAGCCAACTTTGGATGGACTCTAGAAAAGACTCTTGAGAAAGGAAGACCGTTATCGCGAGCAAACGCATATGTCATACGCGTGGAGGTTGTAGTGATGGAGATGGTCGCGAATAGAAGGCAGACGAGTGGGAAGATGAGGAGACAGATAGCTCCGGCCTTGCTACCAGTTGCATGGTAGAAAGTTTGAAGTAATGGACCCGCAGCGCTTTCAATAACATCGTTGACATCACCTCCTACAAAGAGCAGGACCATAAGGAATATGAATCCTGTAAAGACACCAATCAAAACACATCCAATCATAATTTTAGGACCCTGAACTCCTGGGTTTGGAATCTCTTCAATCATGTGAGCGACAGCATCGAAACCAGTCAATCCAAGACCAGCTTGGAGCAAACCAAGAAGCCACGCAACTCCGTCAGGCCATCCTGTACTATTGATAAAGTCTGTGAAGACGAAAGATGCGTCGTTGTAATCTGGGGAAGCTGTCGCCAAAACGGTAATACAAATCACGACGAATCCGACAATAGACCAGATGAATGCCGATTTCGTGATGAGAGGTAAGAGCGATGTCATGAATGCATTGACAATAAAGGCAATGATATTGTATGCGACATAGAGAAGGAATTGATGCCAACGTTGTGGTTCATAATTTGGGTGCATGAGTGAAATAACTCCTCCTATTAACTGAGAGCCTAAAAGACCACCCGAAGCGACGAGTGCAATCCAGCCGGAAACATTGATCCACCCAGTGACCCAACTGAGAATAGGAACATATTTCTTCCAACTTATGACTGCAACCCAATGATATTGACCACCTGCGGTTGGGTAGGCGGATAGGAATTCGGAAAGAGAGACGGCAAGGCATAGGTTACATACTCCGGCGGCTGTTGAAACCATGATCAGTATCAAGTCCATAGAGTGAATGGGAAATTGAGAATAAACTTACTAATCAATCCCCAGAGTACTGAAGTTGGTCCACCACTTGGTAATGCAACACTTAAACTCGCAGCTAGAGCAGTCCAAGAATTAAGAATCGCAAATGCTAGACCCAACATAGAAAGCAAAGAGAAATTGCGTTCCAATTCTTGTTTGTGGCCATGAGCAGCCAATTGAGCCGCATCAGCGTCGGCATCATGATGTTGAGGCATGACTACCGAATGTGAAAGAGAAAATTAAGAGAAAAGCTGAAGATATGCAGGAAGGAAGAAACAGGAAAAGCGACAGAAATATCTACATATTTCTCACTATCTAATTTGAAGAGATACGAGTAATACCTAGAAGGTAATACTTTACCCACCGCGTACGTACAAGGTTATCGACCCCGCAAAATGATAAGAGAATGACAAGAAGGAAATAGTCAAGCGCCTTTGGATGATCAACATGCAGTTTGTAACAAGTCAAGGAAGTTGTTATGTAAAAAGATTTTGTTAAACTGATTTTAGTTTCCACATTAACACACTGACACGGGGCCGTGAAGGGTTAACTGACTAGTAAAGATCCACTGTACTGTAACCTTACTCTCCGGCCGGGGAACGCCCTATCTAGACCCCTGGCACGTGATGGCTAGATATGAGAATATATCATTTTGTAAGTTGTAATCATGCGAATGAAGATAAGGGTAAAACAAATGGTTTTGGAACTTGGAAGTTTCATGGCATTCCAACTCGTCAACGTATCGATTGAAATCGTAATCGTCTTACCGGGCAGATATCCAGGAAATTCTGAGTTCATGTAATTGTAACCATAATTTTCCAGAACTCACGGACGTCATCAGCGGGATCGCCGTGCAGGGGATAACGCATAACGTCTGCGGCGTGTGCACAAGGACGTCAATTGACATTCTGCTGATCTTGCTAAATATGTGAATAGCCCAAGGTCCTGAAGGATGTCGAGTATCGAGGGGAATGCAAGGAGAAGTCGAACCAATTATCTAGACTTCTGAAATCAATTTCGTACTCACCATTCTCGACTAGAAATCTGGCCCCCTTCGATTGTCATTCTGGTTCAGTTGTGTTGACTGGACAGGGCAGGGTGGCCAGTTGAGAAAAGAGCAATTGGTGGCCACTGAGCATGGACATAGCTACTGCAGCATGGGGACAAATCCTGCAGAATATCGGACGATTACTATGATATCGCCTTCTGATAATATGACAACTCCGGCGCATATATTTGTGATTCGTTGATATGTTGGTACAGTAAGAGGAGTGTAAAGAAAGGCGAGCTCGATTGATATTTACCACCATCCCTTTTTGGTTGCATCCTGTATCTTCTCTTCTGTCGCAACCTTCACGCCACTGTCTTTTGGTGTGGCTTTAGGCTTTTTCAACTCAATTCTCCAGGTCGTTCCGCCATGTCGTCTTTTAATATTCACAACTTCAAGCCCACTCTCTTCGACAATTTTTCCCAAATCTCTATTCCACCAACATCCGAAAAGCTTTGCATGCCCTTCTGCACTGTTGTCCAACGCTCTGTTTAACCAATCCCATTTTGCTCTTCCATGCTCCAACAATAATATGCGCCCTTCATCTTCTTTCACGCACTCTCCCAGATTCTTCAATAGTCCTACCGGATCAGCAGCGGAACACAATCCCATAGTCTGAATCACTGTATCATATTTCGCGTCTTTGTTCCCGCTTGTTTCGTTTGCATTTCGAGGGGGGCCTGGTATTTTCTCGGAAGCATCCTGAATTATCCATCTCACACCCAAGACTCCTGGAAACATTGTCGAGAACTTTTCATGGGCAACTTCCAACATCTCACCACTTTTATCAACAGCCGTAAAACTCTTAACTTTCCCCTTCTTAATACCACCCACTTTTTGAATTTTCCCAACGCCATTGAATCCTTTGAAATTCCAGTCATAAAACTCTAGATTCCTGCCTGTACCAATAGATACTTCGAGTACATCTCCATGTGCTTCTTGCGCCAATTTTTTGCGCATCTTCGTGATTCCCATACTCCATTCCGTCCAGTCAACTTCCGAATCAAACGTAGACGCAATGGTATCATAGCGGGATGAGACATCAGCTTGAACTTTAGAAGAAGAAGATTTGGTAGGTTCTTTATTGAGTAGAACAAATAAATAGGAAGAGTAGCCGGCAAATATCAAAGCAGCGATACTACTTCCTATTAAAGCAAATTTCCTACCTTGAAGTGGATGTTGTTTCGCTGCTGGTGGAGGGGGAGGAGGGGGTGGAGTAGGGTCCAAAACTTGTCTTGGACTTGGAGTTCTGCAGGGGGGGTTAGCATGAAATCTCGCAAGGGATGTTCAGGTGGAAGCTCTACTTGTATTGCTGTTGAGATCTCGAGGGCTTTTTAGGTATTTGGGGTTTTTGTTTCGCAGTTCGAACTGTCGTTGTGCTTATTGAGTGGCGAAACAGATCAAAACTACGATTGACTTCGTTCAAACGACGCAAACGATTAACCCTCAGTCCAGTGTGCATCATCCTCTTCCTGATGATTTCCATCGTGACAGCCTCGCCCCTGGCAATACTTTATTTTCAGGAGAGTACGGTGATTGGTTAACTTCCTATGATATATCTGTAATGTCAAAGAATCCTATAGCTCCCCAGTATAGATTATTTGGAGATATGTCGCATTGATGTAGGTTGAATTGGCCATGTTGTGTTGAAATGGAAGTCAAGTGTGAATTTATTTTATCCGGCTCGGCATTCACAAGGCTGTGCTGTGTATCACAAGGCTGAATGAATGAGCTTCTCTTCAACTTGACAATGGATTCTTGTGAAAAGGCAGATATTAATATAATTTATTTAAAAGAGAATCGTAAGGACTTGGTTTCCCAAAGTCGTATGTATTGCCATTGTCCTGCTAACCATATTGAATGCGATCATCCAAAATTCTGCTTAGCCAAAGCCTTGAGCATAGCCATAGTCCCATCCTCCTTTTGTTTGTACTCCTGTAGCCTTTCATCTCTTTCGGCTTGTCTAGCTCTCATTATTTCTTCCTTCCTCAATTCCCTCTCATTCTTCTTGCGCTGGAACTCTTCTTTCTTTTTCTTAAATCCTTCAATTCCTTCATCGCCGCCCATCAACTCAATATCCGGAACTTCTGCCGCACCAGGAGATTTCTCTCTGAATGATTTCATCTTTTCGTTCACTTCTTTCTTCTTTTCCAATTGCCGTTCTCTTGTCCCAGCTTCAGCACGAGGAACCAGTTCATCTAGCGCTTCCTTTTGTTGTTTGCGATCAATCTTCCGCTCGAACCTTGTGTCGTCGCGGCGAGCTAATCCATCTTCAAGAGCCATTTCTGCGAAAAAGTTAGAGTTTGCGCTACTTCTAATTATAACTGGCGTGTGTAAATACCTCTCCTAAGCTCTAAATCTTCCATATTTGGTATACTGGGCCCCGGCCTATTCCTTCTAGATTTATTAATCTCCCCTGGCAATGTTGGGCCCATCGAATCATCACTATCATCTCCATCGCCTCCTACTTCATGGTCTTTCTGTTCGGGTTCGCGCTGAATCAAACTCGACGAAGGTTCGTTTGACTGGACCGGATTTGACTCTCGAGCTATTTCTTCCTCGTATTCCCTTGCCGATTCTTGGGCTTTTCGCAATGTTGATGGATCATACCAACCCTCTGAAAGTTCTCCACGATTCCTCACACATGTTAGCCGGTATTCTAAGACTTTCTTGGGCCGAAGCCAGAATTCATGATTACCATTTTCCAAGGAAACTCTTCCATCTCCCTTTGACTTCTGTTTCCCCTAACTCATCCAGAAATATGCCTTTCTGAATATCCAAATATGATGCAAACATTGGTTTGAATGTCTCGTAATCATTTTTCGTGATCGGCCTACAATTATATGGGAGTTCTGGTGCTGCTTCGATCGGTCGTTTGCTTCGATGATGATTACCATGCGGTGATCGTCTCCGATGAGAATGCGAGTGATGTCGCTTAGGTGATCTGGAACGTGAATCTCTTCTCCGACCGTATTCGCGGTCTGATCGTGTGCTATCCGCCATGCTTAATGATCTAGTGACTTTTGTTGTTGTGAGAGCCTAGGTTTAGGTTGTGCTGTAACGGCAAAGAAGATGCGTAAATATATCAATCACGTGAACCCTAAGACTCTTTGACAAGTACTTTTGAATATTGGTAGATAATTTGATTATATTGATGGTATTCAGTTTATCATACTTTTCGTGTCTAAAGAAAGATGCAACAGGAAGGCCTTGGAATTACAAAATCCTCGATACTGCACTGCGCATGACAAAAATAGCCGAGGCTCGACAACAGTAAGGTCACTGTATCTTGTAATTACTCTAGGAACATACCGCATGCGATTATAGAATGTCATCAAAACAGACTCCAAGAGTCAATAACACAAAACTTGTGAGGTTTTCAATACATGAATAGTCAGCACGCTACCAATTGCAACGATCAAATTGGCCCTCAAGCTTGACACTATTGGCATTCAAGTTAAATGGCCATCTGTCGCTCTAGCTTGATGGCATCGTGTCATATCGTTGGTTCTGGAGTTGAAAACCTCTATATTAAGATTCATGACCACCATTCGATGAGGTTTGCTTCTGAATGTTGATGCGGCGTAGTTGGACGTCGATAACATCAGATGGGGCTCGCAACAACCATTTCAAAAAGACAGAAGTGTCACCCATTTTCAATCCTCTTTTTACAATTCCAATATTGTACACTGCATTCACGTCATCCAAAAGTTCTGACGATTGGTGAGACGCGATGACTGGGGGTGGCAATAACGGTTCGAGTATGATGGATGTCCGATCGTTGTCGGATACCAACGTGCAACGAACGGGTGTCGCATTTGTTTCGCGGTCCGGGTTATTTCTCAGACGAGCAAGTACTCGATTATAAAGTTCAGAGACAGACACAGCTCCTTGTGTGGCAGCAGAAGACAGCTCCCGTATGATTGCCGACGTGAAAGAGCTGTTGGTAGTTGTCTCAAATCCACATGCCGCGATTAACTCCGTTACACTTCCTGCTGGAGGGTTGAGGGATACAGCAGTATTTGCAGAGTAGCACGTGCCGTACAACAGAAGGGCATCTGAGTTAGACTCCTCGAGGAGGGTCTGGATACGATTAGAAGTCATACGAGGACCACCTGCTCTTCTATGTTGTTGTTAGCTAAAGAGAGCAATGGTGGCACGGCGTAAACCTACCCAGACCAAATAGCGTCATGGCTTGTATCTTGGATGCCACCGTGACCTTCGTACACAAAAATGAGAAGTGTGTTCGGAGAATTATCTCCTATAAGCTCTTGAACTCGGCTCGACAATGCGTTCGCGGGATCAATATCAGGTATGGTGAATTTCGCCACGTTGAACCTGTATGATTGTTCGAATACTCTTGCCAACTTGTCGACCAGTCCAGAAAGACCTAAATTATCCGAAGCCCATCTAACAATCAATACCTTCACGCTGGTGTAACAGTTCGAACGTCGATCCCGAAACTCCCTCTTCAATTTTTCTTTGAAATTGCCGTCCCATGCAATGTCGCAGTTTTCCTCCAGACCATGTTCGCGAATCATTTCCTGCAGATGTGCTACTCTCCTCTCTTGTTCTTGTTTGATCTCTTCGGTTTCTTGCTTTTGCTGCTCAGACTCTTTGAGATATTTATCTTCAAGCTCCTGCCTCTGCCTGTCAATATCTCTGCTGCTTTCAGTCAATCTCGCAATTTCTCGTTCAAGCTCTTCAACCTCCTTTTCTTTCTGCTCAAATTTGGACTTCTCCCGTTTCAACTCCTCCAGGTACCCTTCTTTATCACGATGCTAGAAGTATATCGTTAGAGATCTGACATACATACATATATTCAGTTGGGGAACTTTGAACATACGGTTTTATCAAGTAATACATTGTACTGTTCTTCGGACACTGTTTTGGCGGCCGTTGCTGGATCTGGGGGTTGAGGTTTGGGCGCGGCACAAAATCTGCCAGTGGCAGGATCTCTCGCCCGAGTATACTTGCGTTTCTTATTACTGCCAGACATGCTTATTTTGCTTCTGCTAGATGATTTTAGGTTGAGGTAGTAGGCCCGGAATATGACTTTCAAAGTGTATGTTGGCTCGTCTTGTGTGTCAATGTCTTGAGAGCGGTGGTATATTGTTATCCAATATTAGAAGTTATGAATTGGTGGAAGTTACATGCAAGGACTTCGAGAGATTAGTAGTGCACACGCTGGTGCTCTATGAGTTTCTGCTCGAACGAGACACGCGCATCATCTAACCTACATATCTGATCGTACCACCGCCTTCACAGCAGAGCAAGAAGAACGTCCTGAGCAGAACAGGACCGAAAAACTGATGAATATTGAACGATTTCCTTCTATCTACACGTTCTCCCATTCTTCTTCTCAATCCTTCTGTCTAGCCAATAAATTCTGCCGACTGGAGATATGCCATCGTTGCGAAGACATTGTAAGAGTCAGCGTTCGTCAAAGCCTTTGATCTGTCCACAGTTTCTTCTCCGGCTTTACCACCCAGCATCCAGACTGCAATCAGACCATAAGCTGCGACTTGTCCGCCAGTATCACCAGTAACTTTTTGATCGACAACTATTTCTTCTTGTTAGCAAGATCCCAACTAACTTCCAGAACAAGGAAAGACTTACCATGTGGTTTCAAATCGAGGAAATGCATCATTTCGTGCAAGAATGTTCCAGGAAGCGATCGAACATCATTCCATTCGACTTGAGCTGTCGAAGTCCTCATGCTTTTCAAGCTAGTTTTGTAGTTTGCACTTTTGAATGCGTTGGGGCACATGAACATGTTTCCGGTTTGCCAGTATGTGATGGCTTCGGCAGATTTTGTTCCACACATTTGACCTCCGTTATATTCGTCAATGATGAAATTGAAGTTCTTGCCACGTTTGTGGTCAGGATCTTTCCATAATCCTCTGACAACACTGGTATCGGTGTAACCTTGTGCCTTAACTGCGATGCTTCATTAGCTAGTGCTGTATGATACAGTTCATCTAATACTCACAGTACTGTTCGGTGGTCATGGTACCTCCATCAGGGAAAATATCAACGGCTTTCTATGGACATTGTTAGATTGAGTATCTCTCCAAGTGATGGTCAAGCATACAGTAGTCCATTTTAATGTTGAATCATCACAGAATAATGTGTTTTCGCTTGCGGTCATTCCAGTTCCGGAATTTAAGGCTGAGTAAAGCTTTTGATAGTTTGCTATATTCTTATTAGATTCGGTGTTTAAGTTGCTGATTCAGCCTGTGCTCTGGTACATACCTTGAGCGGCTTTTAGTTGAGCTGTATCAGCTGCACTTAATGAATATGACCACCATTTAGGTTCTGTAACTCCCCAAGCAGTGGTGGCAGCCTTCGTAAGAGACTTTATGGCAGCGGATGCAACATTTGGGTTGAGTTTAACTCCAGCATTGAGGAGCGTATCAATCCCTTGAATAGCAGTATCTACCATATCGATCGTTTCAGTCAACATGTCGTCTACCTTAGAAGTTGAGCAAGTAGATGAAACAGTGAAGCGACTGCTCATGCTCACGGCCATGGCCTGGCCAATTAGGCCTGTAGTTAAAAGGTATGGTAGGAGCTGCATTTTGTTGTTTGAAGGCTCTTTGGGAGAGGTGGAAAATATGGATGAGAAAAGAGAAATGAGAATGTTAGACGAATTTCAATGCTTCAAGGTAAGGACAGACAATTGCTACGAAAGCAAAAATAAGAAAAATGAGTGTTTTGATGGATTTTATCTTCTTCAGTTATTTGGGAGAAGAGAATATATACAGTATTCAACGATGTGAAAGGCGTCGTATCACAATATGCTATATCTGTATGGCTCGTTTTACTCACTGTACAATTTCCCCACAACCCAAAAAAAGCCTACGCCAAGGCATTACCACATGGCTACAATTTGATCCTAATTCATCCTTCTTCTAGAAGTACAACATAAAATGCCGAGAGGAACCTTAAGTTTGTCATACTGTAGGATCTTAAGGTTAAATCGCTTGAGGCGCAGTTCATCAGCATATCATCCACAATACTCACGACTCGCCTGACATAATCAACAGCTACGCTTATTTTGTGGAAATCTGCTTATGTTTTCATTTCGTTTCTGACCCCTAATCATTTATCTCATGATTGAAACCAAATGATAACAATAATAGATACGATCCTGATCCTTTGTACTACCGATAACATGATTGTGACGATTATCCACGATGTTGACCAGTGTTCCCGAATGTTACCTCTATCATATAAGATGTAGTACCTCAACTTGGAATCTTCAATTCAAACTTTGCTTGAACATTTTATACAGTCTTTTCTGTTATTACAGTCCTTTCAGTCCTTTTGTTTCTTCCATTCTTTCATTGAAAAATGTACTTTTCTTCTCATTCTCTCATTGCTTCTGTGCTCTTGGTCTCTGCCGTTCAAGCATATCCAGGAGTTCAAGCAGATGCTGTTATTGATGTCCTAGCTACAGCCACATCTGCAATTGTCTTAGAGACCCCTCCACCTTCGGAAGGGAATCTTGAAAATTTAGGGTTGTTCAAATTCTTCGCAAGAGCTGCGAAGAAAACAACGGCAAAAACAACGGCAAAAACTACTGTCAAAACAACAGAGGCTGCACCGACAACCCAGAAAACCACGGCTCCAGCAACAACTCAAAAGACTACGGCCGTGGTAACTACACCTACGACTACCCCGGTGAAAACCACCGAGACACCTACCACCACTTCAGTTAAGACAACTTCGATTCCAACTACGTCATCCACATCCACCAAACCTACTTCTACTTTGACGAGTTCGACCTCGACTTCGGTTGTGGCACCCAGTAGTACGAGTACTACCTCCAAATCCTCAATTTTAAGCACCAGCTCAATTCAGACATCTCAAGTCTCATCTTCCACGGTTTCTTCGCTCTCCAGCTCAAAGACCTCTAGCTCTTTGGTATCCAGTAAAAGTTTTACTTCTGTAGCTACGTCTGCTCAATTATCGTCTTCTGCATCTGGTTCATTGACTAGTGTTAGTGGAGTCTCCGGATCCATTACCAGCACTGGCTCCTTGGCATCTGGGACTGGCTCGACTTTGGCTAGTGGATCTATTTCTTCTGGGATAGATTCAAAAACCATCGGATCTCTCACCAGTACTGGATCAGCACCAACAGGGACTGGGTCCATTGCCAGCACTGGCTCCTTAGCATCTGGAACTGCTTCAACTTCGGCTAGTGGATCCCTTTCATCTGGAACCGGTTCCATCACCAGTGGATCTCTCACCAGCACGGGACCACTATCATCAGGAACTGGCTCCATCACCTCCAGTGGAACCATATCATCAGGAATTAGCTCAAGCTCAAGCTCAATCTCAGGAAGTGGAACCATAACATCTTCCTCCCTCATCTCCTCCTCCAGCAGTTCCATTTCCTGCTCCGTCTCCAACACCGTAACCGACATAACCTACTTCGTCTCCCCCGCCACCAACACCCTCGGATCCGTAACCAAACTCTCCACCATCTCCTCCACGGCCATCCGAACCATCGGCTGTTCCCTCAGCGCCACAACCGCCACATCCACCATCTCCTCCTCCGCATCCATTAGCAAAATCGTCATCCCAACCGGCTACGGAGATCCCATCGTGAGCGCCGAGGCAGGAAATGCTGCGTTTTACAAAGCGGGCGCGGCGGGATACTCAAGCCAGTTGAGCGTGTACAGCGCGGCGTCGACGAGAACGAGCGGTATGACTACGATGGCTTCTGCTACGGGGAGTAGTGTCTCGAGCGCGCAGAGCGGTTCGGGGTCATCTAGCGCTTCGAGTGCCCAGAGTAGTCTTGCAAGTGGTACGACGAAGGAAAGTGTAAGCAATATTGCCACTACAGATGTCTCGAGCATTACTAGTGCACCGACCACTTCGGGGACGGCTGCTGCCACGGGGATCGTGGGGGAGATCTCTTCGCTTCTCCATATCTTTTGAGTGGGAGATGTAGATAATATGTGAGGGGGTTTGGATATTGGTATGGGAATAGATTTGGGCGCTCATGAATTCGTTGTAGTATTATATGAAACTAAGCTGCTTGACCTCGTAATGAATACTTTCTGATATATGATATTGACAAAGAAGTGTGATTTTCTTAGCACAGTGAATGAGAAAGAACAAACAAGTGTGTAGACCCGCCAGCTAACGTTCATAAACTAATGAATAAGACAGGTACTAAACGAACAACGCATATAAACTCCCTCCTCAAAGCATGCAAATAAATGCCTCCGTATAAATACGGTAAAGTTCTGAAATTTGAGGGCCAGGGAGAAATGATGACAGATGAAGAAGAAGAGATAGAGAGACGGCGCGTAGACTAGAGGTATCTAGATATCAAGATACCAACCAGCCTTGGACAACTTAATAACATTCACGAAAGTTGTTTGTCTCAAATTTTTAATACACTCGAAGGCCCCTCACATGACACCCTTACATTACAATCATTCAGATCAATCAATTACCATTTTCATTGCTAATTGCTATCAAAAAAGGTGTCATCCATATTCCCTTTCACAGCCCCATTCGCTCTCTCTTTCCCTATCCCACTCTTCATAAACCCCATCTCTATTCAAATCTTGATATTCATCCATCCAGCCATGCATCCTCCTCTTTCATAAACCATTCCTTATAAAATACCCCATCCTCTCCATTTTGACATGTCCAGAAAGATATGATATAGAAAGAAATAGCCACGACATATAATATAACCTAAAAACCCAAACCCAAATCCTACATACCCAAAATTCCATTGCTCCGAATAACAATACTGCAAAAGATCAAGTGGGCTTGCTCTTGCTATGCATATCCATCCCATGTTCCAAACGCCATGTTCCCAACCGAGCCCAATATACAATAGATATCCTTCCCATTTCAAAAGCCCAAAAATCCCGCCAATCCTCATAAAGTACGCCCAAAAAATTATTGTAAATCAAGTCTCGTCTCGCGTCCAAGTGAAATCAAAGTTTAAGATTCCAGCCACACACAACCACAACTCTCATCCCCGTCTCGTTCCACCAAATCTCGTTTGAAGAAGTCTGAGACAAGACTTCGAGACGACAATGGCGAGACACTTGTGGGTTCCGTCTCATTTAAATAAATGGTAATAGGCTGACCAGTTGAATTCATTAATGGTTCAGCATTACCATTTGATAAGATCTGATGAGCTACACAGTAAGCTGGAACAGTTTGACCACCTCGAGGGATGCGGCGTTCGGCGATTTTGTAAACTTTAGGATATTGAGGTAAGAATTGAGGGCCATTTTGAGAAGGCCCAGATGAAGAAGACTGCTGTGATTGAACTCCATTGGTAGACGAAGGTACATCTGATGAGTAAGTGCTCGTACCATATGCATTACCGGTTTTAGTTGGAGACGAACCACCAGAAGTGACCGTGGAGGAACCCGCGCTACTAGTTTCATTGACATAAATGAATGCCTCTAATAAGGTTCCATTCCAGTAACAAAACCAAGGTTGATCTCCAGCTTGAGCTACTCCTTTACGATTCATGAAACCCGAGGCAGGTTGTTGACGCTTCATGTTTGTTGAGAGAGACTTCTGCGGCAATACAACTACCTTGTTGTATGGCACTTGAAAAAACCAGGCTGGACCTCGACTAGGATATTCCGAATCATTGACGAGAGATAGTACCTGAGCAGACGACAAAATCGGGGGTTGAGCGCCGTATGGATAGAAATTTAAGGAAGCGTTGCCATAATTCATGGATATTTCCTTGTTGGCGAGTTCGTCACCACCCGGAATGTCTATAATAGACATTTCTAGTGGTGTCATTGCTATGGAGCAACTCCAAGCTGAGTTTTCGGCGGTGTTCATGATACAACTACTCTGAGCAGTTGAAGGAACAGTGAGGGGCATATTGTAAGTTCCGGTCGGAAGCGATGGAAGCGAAGCAGGTACAGTAGACAGAGGTGTTGCATCGAATGTGGTGGTCATGGTCGCATATACTGTTTTTTGGCTTGATCTGCAAAAAGTTAGTATCCTGGTCTTAGGTACTAGATGATGAAAACTAACTGGTCACCGTGATGTTGCTTGCTGTTATTATTATCAGGATCACCACCATGTTTCGGCCTCAAAATAGTAAAAACGGTTCCAAGTACAATTCCAAAGAGAACGAAGACCAAGACTATCAAAACAACAACCCATACAGGAACGATACCACATAATTTTCTTTTGGCAACAACTTGCCATTTCTTCAGTGGAGGCTTTTCGGAATATTCCATATCGCCGTGATTGCTTTGATGTGAACTTCGATCTGACATTATACTCCTTGATGACTGGCGTGATTGAGATGAACGAAGATCTTCATTAGAGGCAAATTCGGGATTTCGAGTCGCTAGTCCCATACCACCAGCACCAGATATAGGAACAATGGGAGCTGGCATTTGAATGGTAGGTACAGGTACGGGTGTTGGTACATATGTAGGTCGTAATTTTCTAGCAAAAGCCTCATCCGGATATTTGGTATAAGGTGGTAGTTGTTCCGTGTGCCCATCAGGCCCGATAAGATCCGCGGCCTCCTCACCTTCCGGACCTAATCTTCGTTGATAATCATTATTCAGACCTGGGAAACCAACAGGAATGGGTGCAATCGGCAACTGGTCGGAATCACTTGAAACTGTACTCTGCGGATACATGCCGTAAGGATGTGTTGGTCCACTTGGTCCCGTGTACGACATTTCCTGTGGTGGTGCCGGCATTGTTGAAGTCGTCGCTATACTCGCGGTTCTCGCTAATCGTGAGTCTTGATTATACATATTATATGGGTGCGATGGTCCTGTAGGTCCTCTATACGGACTTTCCGGTCTCATCATAATTGATTCGCTCGATATGCTCGATATACTTGTTGCAGTAGATGTCCTTGTTAATCCATAACCGCTCCCACTTCCATTCTCCCCCGAGTACGCGAATGTTGGACCCCTCGACATTTGACCATTCCCACCATCATTTCGTAATGCGAACGAATCAATTCCTCTCGGTTTTGTTGTACTCGAAGGTCGTGGCGGTGGTGTTGATGCTCTTCGTCTTTCTATGGGTGATAATGGGGACTGAGATTGTTGCTCCTGTATTGGCTCTTGTTGTGGTGGTGGTGGTGGAGTGTAAGTATGTTGATGTGAGTCCGAGGGTCTGTAACCACCACCATTCGACATCCCCATGGCCGCCAAAGCATAATCTTCTTCATCTTCGTCCTGCATTTGCATCGATAATCGCGTCGACCTTTGAGACTCCCTTCTATTATGTTCGATGTGTGAAGGATGATTAGATTCGCCCATTTTTGACGATCGAGTGAGCGCCTATATGACCACGGATGTCCGCACTCCCGAGTGTTCAACACTCTCACTACACACACACACACACACACACAACACGCCTCAATCAAAAGTCCGCAAGTACAGCTCTAAATGGGATTCTCCCTCTCGCAGTAAGTGAAGTTGTATATAATCGGTCGTTTATTCATCAAAAGGGTTCCAGAAGGGGATCGAAAGGGTATCAATATCAATTGTCGTAGTCGTTCTTCGCGTTAATATCCAATGATGATCGAAATGATGTGATGTGTTATTATTGATTGAAGTTGATAGGTATGAGGTGTGAGGTATGAGGTATGAGGTATGAGGTGTGAGGTATGAAATGTGAAGTGTGAAGTATAAAATGAGTGAATGGGTCGTAAAGAAATGATTTTCCTTGGTATTTTGGGTGTACAGTGAGTAAAAATTGAGGTTTGGGGGTATTTTCCAGGAGAGACTTGTTTGAGGGAAGCTGCTTAGACCAGTGAGAAGAAGATCGCCAAGTACGCCAAGTTCCAAATCCGAGACGATATAGTGGATTGAATTTACTCGCTTAACGAGGATTGATATCCAATCAAACGATCAGTCGACAATGGTTTAAGAATGAAAATTGCTGGTAATGAGGGTAATGAGTCTTGAAAACATAACACTAATCATCTAACGGCTTAGTGTTCCTTGCTGTGTATGGCTTAGAATGGTTCCTGGTTTTCGTGTTGATTGCCATTGGCTTCTATCCAACAAGTAGCCACTTTATTTATGGAGTACTTTTCCAAAATAAGATAAGGTTGTAGGAAACTAGAAGGATGTGCTTGAAATCCCCAAGTGCTTGTTTGTGTCAAAATCTAGACTATTGTGCCTGTTGTGGTGTGCCTCTGGTGCTCGGAATTAACCTGCCTAGTTAGCACATTTTATCAAAACCAATAGGGAAATCCGATACGGAAAAATATAAATACGAGAGTAATACGTGATTGGATTGGAATGCAGACGAGGGCCAAAGAGGAAAATGAGTGGCGATTTACCCAAAAAAAAACTGTAACTAGATACTCAGGTACGGCAAAAGACATGGAAGATCTTGTCGTTAAAATTCCGGTATATAGTTACTGCCTTTTACTCGGTCGGACTTATTTATACCGTCTAATTGGGATGTACAAGAAAATATCTAATCTTGATTCTTGAAATCTATCACCTTTCAAGAGGTGAAGGATCCAACCATGCGTTGTGCTTTTAATAAGTATAGAAAATGAAAAGGTCATACATTCTACCAATTATTCATTTCCCTACCCCAGCTCAAAGAACGCCCATAATCCCATTGTCAGCCAGCATATCGTCGAAGAAAGGTATTAAAAGTGTGGATAGAAACTGGATCTTTGGAATGTTTCCCAGGGCTTCGAATGAAACTTAAAGAGTCAACAACCTTAAATCCAAAAATGTCCGATGACGATGTTATAACGATTGTTATTGGAGTTGGCTGACTTAGGAGATAAATCCGCCGTCAGCATACCAATATATTGTATGCACGATGTTTGTATTAGTCTAGTAGACAGATTAGACAGATTCGAAGTTAATCCGTCTCGTCTACCAGCCGTTGACGTTTACGAAAATCAAAAAAGCACTTGAAGGTATGTAGTGGAAATTCGAACAAATTCAACTCACTTGTGATTGTTCTTTGATACCTATTTTTTAATGAAAGTCTTGCTTCGGAGTATCATCGTTAAATGCCGAAAAATCTGTGGGGATGAAAAGAGAATTTGAACATTTTTTCAAATTGTGAGACCGACAGAGCGTGACAAGGACTACCAAAGATGGCGTTGCGTGATAGAATCCATGGATGGTGTTTCTGAAATCCATTAATACACATTTGCTGACTTCAAAAAGCGAAATGTTACATACAGTCATGTATCTGCACCTGCATTTTGGTAGGAATGGTAGCAACAGTTTATCGAATTAGACAAGTTCTCTCGTAGCGAGGCGATGAAGGGGCTGAGGTTGTGGACTTGTGGGGTTTATCCTCCCCTCCCAAGTGTTTTATTGTATCAAAACGAACAGAGGACATTCATATATTTTCAACCTCCATCCTCTCATTTCTCATCTATGGATCCCAAATGATAAACCAGTCAAAACTCTCAAAGTCTAAAGAATCATCATCTCATGCATCTCATTCAATCATTCATTTCATTATCTATTAAGCTGTTGCCTCTTCGGTATCGATACCCTGTCCTGTGTCTGATACTACACCAAGCACACCAAAGCCCCGCAAATTGAACATGGGATATCGTACGTACACTTGGGATAAATCTTTTTCACACCCCTTCGCATCGAACCGTGCGAACCAACTGCCGTGAGATACCTCCTGACTTGGATATCACCGACACACGCCGAAGCACACGATAAATTTCCGCTACAGTGCATTTGCATCATCTGTTAGTGATCTTCGTTACGGAGAAACTACTGTGGTAGAAAGAAGGAATCTCGACATTCCAGAAAATAGTATGGCTCCCCTCTAGATTGTTGCGTGTTTACGCGTAACAAGAACGAGTGGCTCAGTAGCCATACTTTATCTCGCCGTTTTGTCTTGTTCAACTAATGGTTGTCAAATTTCAAAAGTAAGGACTTGGCTCTTGGCACTCGTCTCGTCTTCCTTCAATCCAAACATTTCTAAAGCTTCAGTCTAACAAGGAAGCTTGATAGTGTCTGTGTACTTGTAAATAGACCAAAAACGATCCGAAATCTATATTCCATGCTTAATTTTGATGGTGATGGAAGCTCTAAAAGCTCTCCGTCAAATAGGTAGGTAAAGCTCTGTGCTTGACGGAACTGATACTGAATCATGTCACAAGGACTTATATATTTCTCCTCGACTCACCAACTGATGTCCTTTTTTTGGTAGAAGATTCCTCTTGCCGATGGGGATATTACCCAAAAATGCCTAATATGGAAATGATTTTCTCGGTTTGAGAGAAGCAATGCTTCACAAGAGTACCGGAAAAGATCAAAGTTTTCCCTTAACCCTCCTTTCGCATTCCTTTCCTCTTCCAGCCGGCTCTCTGTGAGATGAACATTTCCTCAAAATCTGAGGATACAAATACTTGACATGATTCATCCCAATTTCCAGAGGAATCTCGTCAATACAGATTTATCATTGCGAAATTTTAACTTACCTACTCGAGCTACTCGAGCTACTCGAGCTACTCTTGGCGATTATGAATCCGCAACTCGCCATTTATTTCCCACCACCGATACGAATCCGATACTAAACTTACACACGGGAAGACACATTCCCAAGTTCCCGCGTCGGATCCGATTTCGTAAATTTCGTTAGGGTTTCTGTCCCTGATTTCTGAGCGCTCGATACCGTGATTCTTACGTAGTAGCTTCTTCTGGAACATTTGAAGATCTTTGAGCTTTAGTATAAAAAGAAAGGAAACTTGGCGCCTAGGCTCCTTGAAGGCCAACATCGTCCTCCGGTTATATCTTACATCGTAGAAATCTCAAACGAAGCAGATTTGTTCGAGAGAGTGAGTGTGGCGTGATATATATATATAGACAATATCCTGTTTCAGCAGTTTGTAGTCTCCTAGTGTCGACTTGCCTTGATTGATTAATAGCTCATGTGGAGATAGCGATAAGGCTGTATATCGGAGTATATCCCGCACCGTGAGGTAATTTATATGAATCTTGAGCTCGTCCTCAATATTCTCAGATCCATTTTGACACATTTTGAAGAATTTCTTCCAAGATTCCGATATCGTGACACATAACATACAAAGATCCTGTCTGAAGTGGAGAGATTGTGGACACTCTCGATGGGGAATATCCAAGATCAAAATTTTAATCTTATCTGATCAAAAAGATAATCAAGATAAACAAGATCTCGCTCGGGGTCCGAGACGAGCTATGATACAGAAATCCATGGAAATTGTCCACCTGGCCAAAGAAACTTTTCACTTCATTCATATTTGAATATTCTCTGTAAATTTGTGACTGTACTCGTGAGGATGGGGGTGATTTCCAGCATTGTGCCGCAGTCTCACATCAAAGGGGTTTTATCATTTTGGTCCCTTTCTGACCTTACGCGAGCTTGACCATGGAGGGCGAAAGAAGTTCAGTGAAGACCGTAGATACTGTATGTAGTTTGTTTGCCTCATAGTAGGAATGATAGACCAGAGCTAACGGGTGAATGAAGTCGCTAATCTGCCAGCCACTTTTCGAATAGTAAGCTTTCACGAGCAAGGTTGGGCTTGATCTGATGTTCGTTCCTGCATGAGCTAACCAATGTTACAACCTCATTTGACCCCTACGCGCCAGCACTCGCACAAGTTACAACACAAGAGCTGCACCCGTACTTGAAACTTTGAGACTCAACCGCCACATTCGCTCATTTATCCCCCCCCCCCACATCACCAGATAATGCAGTTGACGATATTAAGTTTTCTCTTCTTGAGGCCGATGCCGTTGCACGGAGCCCGAAGTGAAGATGGACTCTGATGGAGTCGAGGTGAAGAATCCTGTCATGGAAATTCAGGGGTCTGCATTAGTTGGAAGGGTTCGGTTTTCTTTAGCATATCCGTTGTCAACTTGTCAAACGTATGCACGTAAAAGTATATATTGTAGGCTTCCTTATATCAGAAGGTGAGCGAGATAGACGAAGTATAAATTCTACCGACATCCTACCTTATAAATTTTACCGACATCCTCCCTCAACGGTGAAAAGAATTGGGATTATCAACCGTTGAAAGAGTTGTTGCACTTCTGGGTATATATATCCGTCTATTGTCCATATCGCTTGAGTATCACGAACGAATCTTTGAATCTTCCAATCTTCACATAGTCGAATTCTCTTGTCTATATATCATACTATATATAACACACTATATACATCACACTATATATACATCACACTATATATACATCACACTATATATACCATCCTATATATACCATCCTATATATACCATCCCACCAGTGACCAGCTCGCGTCTGCACATCTCATATATCGGTCAGTCCAAATCTCCACTGTTGTCTTTCTTCATTTCGTTAGTTGGAAACTGTTGAGGGGAAACCTTACCACGAATGGCGTGAAGGGTGGTGAGTGGACATGGGATTGTTTCCTCTCTCGGCCGTCTACCGATTATCGGGCTGTGTTGGCGGTGATCTAGTGGGAGATTGGGATTATTTTGTTGATACAGATAATCAAAAAATTCAGATTCGATATAAAGATAATAATCCTTTATCAGAATTTCCCCCTATTTCTCTCTGCATTTTTCTCCTTCGATTTTAATTCACTTGTGTTACTAGTAATTTCGAACAATACTAACATCAATCTTTGTCTTCAGTCTCGTCAATTTTTCTTGACTGTACATACAAACGATATTTAAGAGCTTGCTCTCTACATCCCTTTTTATCTTATATCTTCAAATAATCTTTGGAAATACACACACACACACACACCGCCCCTCGCAATCATGTCTACTCGTCCTCAAAACATCGGCATCAAGGCCATTGAAATTTACTTCCCAAGCCAGGTAATTCACCAGATCTCCTTTTCCTACTCTGCTGCAAAATCCCGTTTGTTTATTCGGAAAACTAACTTGTGTGCCTTTCCCCCCGCCAGTGTGTTGCTCAAGAAGAACTCGAGAAGTTCGATGGCGTTAGTGCAGGAAAATACACAATTGGTCTTGGTCAAACCAAGATGAGCTTCTGCGACGATAGAGAAGGTAAGAAATTTGTGTCTGCAAAAGATGTCTGGTTTTTTTACTTATGCGTGGCATCTCGCAGATATCTACTCTTTTGCCTTGACCGTCACCTCTCGCCTTCTCAGCAAGTACAACATTGATACCAAAACCATTGGACGTCTCGAGGTCGGTACAGAGACTCTTCTCGATAAATCAAAATCCGTAAAATCAGTTCTGATGCAATTGTTTGGAGACAACTCGAATATTGAGGGAATTGACACTGTCAATGCATGCTACGGTGGTACCAACGCGGTTTTCAACGCTGTCAACTGGGTGGAATCATCTGCATGGGATGGAAGAGACGCCATTGTCGTTGCTGGAGATATTGCTTTATATGCCAAGGGTTCTGCGCGTCCAACCGGAGGTGCTGGAGCTGTTGCCATGTTGATTGGACCAAATGCTCCAGTTGTTGTCGAGCCAGGTCTTCGTGGATCCTACATGCAACATGCCTACGATTTCTACAAGCCAGATCTTACAAGCGAATACCCAATCGTTGACGGTCACTTCTCTTTGAGATGCTATACGGAAGCAGTTGATGCTTGCTACAAGGCATACAACAAGAGGGAACAAACTCTCAAGCCCCTAGCCAACGGACATACCAATGGTGCCGTCGCTGAGGAATCAACAAAAACTCCTATTGATCGTTTCGATTACATGGCTTTCCACGCACCTACCTGCAAGCTCGTTTCCAAGTCATACGCCCGTATGCTCTACAACGACTACCTTGCCAACCCAACCGCATCAGCTTTTGCTGATGTACCAGCTGAGTTGAGGGATATGGATTACGCCAAGTCTTTGAGCGACAAGGTTGTCGAGAAGACATTCATGGGATTGACAAAGAAGCGTTTCAATGAGCGTGTTCAACCCAGTATCCAAGTCCCAACATTCTGTGGAAACATGTACACTGCCAGTGTCTACGGTGGATTGATTGGTTTGTTGAGCAACGTTGATAGCGCTACCCTCCAAGGAAAGAGAGTTGGTGTTTTCAGTTACGGAAGTGGTTTGGCTGCAAGTTTGTTCTCATTGAAGATCAACGGCTCCACTGAGACCATGGCAAAGGCCTTGAACTTGCAAGAAAGACTCGACGCTCGCAGAACCGTCGCCCCAGAAGTTTACGAAGAGGTAAGAACTTTTTCTGAAATCTACTCCTCTGATTCCAATGCTAACACAAAATAGTTCTGCGCTCTCCGCAAGGAAGCCCATCTCCAAAAGTCATACACACCCAAGGGTAGCCCAGACACCATTGCCGAGGGTACCTACTACCTCAAGAGCGTTGATGAAATGTTCCGCAGAGAGTATGAAATTAAGGCATAAACTCTCAAAATCAATTTTAATTTTGCAGCGATTCTTTCTGCTTGCGACTTGCATAGATTACATGGGACGGCTACTTTCTTGCTTCGAATTGCATGTTCACGATTATCCTCTACATGGAGACGCGATATTCGCTTGCATATACTCTTCACGTCTAGATAGACCAAGAGTCTGGTAGACACAGGTTCTGGGGAATGAAGGGGAGGGACGGGGATGCCTGGGATGATTTCAATGAAATAGGAATTTTAATATTTTTGACACAGATGATGGAAAGATTGGAGAGAACAAAAGCAAGATTAAAGCATCGAATGGATGCTGGTTGAATCTTCTTAGGTCTTGACCCAAAAATGGATGTAGACAAACAATGATAGATATGAGAATGATGATTTTGGATTGTGGTTCAGAGATTTTCGTCACTTGCTGATTTGTAACCATTTATTGCAAGCAACTACTGAACGGGCATTTCGCTTCAACAAAATTCTTCCCCTCTTCTCTCAGCCTCTTAACTTAGATTTATCCCGAACATTTGAAACGCAAATGCACAAGCTTGCGAAACGAGAATTTTCATTGACCAGTTCCATCTGATCCATTGATTTAACCATATACAACTAGTATCAATGTACACGTCCTGAACATTGATGCATCAAACAGCCGAGGTTCATTACAAGCGTATTAGTGTCGCATGGGGAAGGTGAATTGGGATCAATCAAGTGGCGTTCCGCAATATCATGTATTTTACCCTAAGTGATTTGAATTGTGTTCCCGGGGTTTGATGCTGGCTTGGAGATTTGGTATAAAAATTTGAGATGAATCCAAGTGGATTCATAGTAATCTCTTCCAAAGAATCTATCGTTCTGGAGACAAATATAAATAAGTCCAACCCAACAGTTGGTCCATCTATATACTGTCCATTTTCTTTACATCCGTTGTTGCTCCTTAGGCCGTACATTTCTCAACACCACCTCGCATTTGCCACCCAGATCAGCATCAGTCATGGAGACGAATTCACCCCTCTCCATAGCAAAACTTATGCTCCCAAAGATGCCCATGATAGGCAAAACCCTTGTCTCCCACACTCTAGGCATATCCCCCCATTCCACCCACTGGGATCTCAAAACCGAACTCACAGTCAACATTCTACGCTCCTTCCTGTACGCCACCCCATCCCCCATTTCCAAAATTCAAGCTGTGACACTACATGATTCTGGCATCAAGGGCCGGATCTGGATCTCTAAAGTCACGCTGGCAATTCCCCCTGAAGATGATGTTCGTCTGAAATTATTCAAAGTCATAGAGGATATGAAAGTCCCACTGAGTTCCGGACAATCACCACAAGAAGGAGGATTCCAAAAGCCAGATTTACTCCCCGTAGAAGGCGAATGGACCGGCCACCGCGGCTATGCCCCTAAAAACGCCCCGAGACTTCGAATCTCAGAAGCTGAACAATATGTGGAGATGATGAAAGAAGTTACTTCTCCCGTGACAATTCTTTATATACACGGGGGAGCACACTGGCTTCTTGATCCCGCCAGCTATCGCGGTCCATGCAAGAAACTCGCCAAACTAACAGGCGGCCGAGTCCTCTCTCTTCGATATAGACTTGCGCCTCAGAACCCCTTTCCGGCTGCTTTGCTAGACTGTCTAGTCGCATATCTGCACCTCCTCTATCCACCCGAAAACTCATTCCACACCGCCGTCCTCGCCGAAAACATTATTCTATCCGGCGACAGCGCAGGCGGAAACCTATCACTATCGCTTCTCCTCCTGCTCCTCCATCTACACAAAACATCCACCCCCATAATTTGGAACGGTGTATCGCGGCTCGTTCCATTACCAGCAGGTCTAGCGCTTAATTCCCCCTGGGCAGATCTCCTCCGCTCCTCACCTTCTATGGAAACAAACAGTAAATACGACTACATACCCCCTCCATCTTTCTTCTCCCCCTCCCATTCCATCCCCTATCCGCGGTGCAAACTCTGGCCTACGCCATCTCCACGATCGAATATCTACTGCGAGGACGCGATGCTCATCCATCCTCTTGTTTCGCCGCTGGCGGCGCCGGCAAGTGCGTGGGAGGGGAGTCCGCCGATCTTGTTCATGGTGGGGACGGAGTTGCTGAGCGATGAGAATAAGATACTCGCGCGGAGGTTGGTGCGGAGGGGAGTCAGAGTGAGGTGGGAGGAGTATGAGTGGATGCCGCATTGCTTTGCGTTGGCGCTGCCGCATTTGAAGGGGACGAGGAGGTGTTTTGAGGGGTGGGCGGGGTTTTGTAAAGAGGTTGGGGGGAGGAGGGTAGATGAGGAGGGGGGAAAGGAGAGGAGGGATAGAGGGATAGAGACGAGGGGGGTGATGGTTAGTGGTAATGCGAAGGGGATGAAGGAGACGAGGATTGAGGTGGAAGGGTTGTGGGAGGAGAGTGACGAAGTTGTGTCTGAGAGGATGAAGGCACAGGCGAGGATTTTAGAAGAGGGGGGGAAGGTGAAAGTGGAGAATGGGAGCGTAAAAGATGGTGGAACTAATCGGGCACGACTTTGAGTTCATGCGGGTGGAACTTTATAATAGAATAAAAACTAGATAACATTCTGGTATAAACTACTTAATATCAAACATAAATTGATGATAGATGCATAGGACTATATGAGAATGACCATTGTCCCTCCTGGTCTCAGACTTTTCAGTGTACAGTTAAATGAGTGCTTAAACGACTGGTAAACCTAGCGCCAAATAAATAAACTTCCCTGCCATTGACAAAAACATAGGCTATCCCTTTGTATAACAGAATCAATACAGATAGTCGTGTTTCATTATATTATATTGTTAACATCCTACGCGATATATTCCAAGATCTCCGTCTCCAATCATTAACACCCTAACGCGCCGTTCCATGCAATTTCATTGACTCCAGATATGCTGATGTTGCGTTTATGCCTGAGCTGACCCGCTTGCTTCTGGTGTTCCATTTGTGGTGGTAGTGGTTGGGATAGAGCTAGTGCTCTTGGTGGCAGCTGCCATTTGCCAAGCTGGAATCTTTGCTCCTCCTGCTGGCGCACCAGTACTGAAATTGAATGGAGTGACATTTCGACCTTGAACAGATGCTACGGCTTCAGTACCTGAGCTAGTACCGACTGATGCTGGTCTAGGAGTGGTAGTTTCAGTGGGTGAATCCGCGGCAGAAGTCGAGTTGCTAGGAGTGGTAATCGAAGTGATTGGAGAAGGAATCGATGGTAAAGCTGAACTTTGAACTCTGTTGTACGGAGTTACATTCGAGGTTGGGTTAATTGCCGAGGTTGGATTCATTCTTTGACCCATCAATGTCTTCAAACTCTTCATTTCCACAGCCAACTCTTTCAATCTATTGTCTGTCACTTCCTTCTGTCCTTCCATGGCTCTGGGTATTAGATCCTTGAGCCCCCTAACCTCATCGCCCATACGTCGAGATTCCTCATCCCTTCTTCGACTCGCAGATTTTAGTTCGTTGATCACAGTCTCTACTTCGGTTAAGGCTATATCTAATCGCTCTGTTCGTTCTTGCTCGGTTGTCTTGAGGGTTTCGGTATCTTTAGCTAACTGGTCAAGAAGAGAGAATGCCTTTTCAAAAGAATCGTCAATCTCCTTCTTATCTTGTTCCAGTTGAGGAGGGGTGGGAGGAGCGATTATTGGATAGATATAACGCTGATTGTGTTAGCAGACTCGTTGCCTCCGAATAAGCTGGACTCTTACCTTGGCCAGAAAATATGCCCCGTATCCTATGCCACCTGTTACCGTGGCCATGATAAACCAATCTCTCCAGTCTCGCTTTGGCACTTCGGGCGGAGGAGGCTGTTGCCATGGGTATTGTTGATAACCGCCATACCCAGGTTGAGGTTGTCTCACGAGTTGTTGTTGTGGTGCATAATTCGAATAATTTTGTGGTGCTGGCGATTGTTCGCCGCTGGCTCTGCCTAATGCCGCATCGACTTCCTCCTGTGTAAGATTTTTTGATTGTAAAAACGCGATTCGATTCTCTAAGGGTGATGCAGAGACACTTGGGTCCTGAAGAACTATTGAGATGTTAGAAATGCTGAAGCCATCTCAGCTGGAATATTCTCACATGCAACCTAGTGAAGCATCAGTATTGGGTTTTAAACAGGAGTTGGAATAACTTACAGCAGATACCACAAGTTCCTCACGAATCGCCATGTTGAGTATAGATGAAAAGGAGAAAAGGAAAACCAAACTTCTTCTCACCGTCAAACAAATACCAAGCTGGGAAATCTGGGGAACTGACTGAACACTAAAATAAATATGAATGGCCGGAACCGAGGTACCGCGACCTTTGCTCCCTTTCACCTTTGTTCAGATTCCCTTGATAGCACGTGATCGTCTTATCTAATTTTGAAGCTAAACTAAATTGAATTGTTTACTTTCCCCAAGCGTTGGCCCTTCGATACACCAAACACTGAAGTTTTGTTGTCGCAAATCTGCATGTTTATGTAAATAAAAATACTTCACATAAACAAGCTTTTACGATTTTCAATATTATCTTTCATATAGAAAGAGCTCATCACATATTCTTCACAAAGGGAAGCTTCATTCTGGAGGATAATTATTGAAAATGTCGCAAGACACTGGTCCTTTCTCCGTGCGCCGACCCAGAGAGGTAAGGATCCTTATACCCCCCCTTCAAATGTTTAATTTATTAAATTGTTCCATTGCTCATTCCGTGTAGACATTAGGAAGTATCAACTACAATTCGAGTTTACCACAACCAGCATCTGCCATGAAACGATCGAATTCAATCGGCGGTTACAATAATGCACCTTTTACCGCCAGTCATGTTCGTAGTGCTGGAGCCAGACAATCTCTTGCACCTGCGCGACCAAATCAACCTTTATTCTCACGATCATCATCGGGCACAAATTTGGCAGATATCGGAACTTCATCTGTAAAAAGGACTTCATTTCAACAAAGTGGTGGCCGAAAAAGTTATGCACCTCCTCAGATGGGTCGCGCATCAGGTGAAG